TTGTCTAAAGAACACCGGTATGAATCTCTGTCTCTCTCGATCTCTCAATCTCTCTCTTGATCTCTGTCTCTCTCTCGTACAATCTCGTTCTCTCTATATCTGCGTACACATTATCTGACCTTTTTTAGATAATTTTTCTTCTCCTAAAAATCTCTCTATACAAGTATATATATGAATTTATATATCTATCTCTATGTATTGATTGAATAATCATCCTTATTTTATTTTCAGGTTCTCGACTGATCCAATCATTGATCGGCGGTAGTGGAAAAATCAACTCCTTTGAAAAAAGAAACCCTAACTTTCTCATTGGAGGTAAGTTCTAATCTATTTGTTTACATGTTTGTTTTGGTTTTGATCTTGTTTAGATTTGTATTGAACAACTCTTTATGAGCTTTTTGTTTACTGTTTAGGAATTGATTTCAATTTGTTAGCTTTTGTAGTTTGAATGTCATGTTTATTGACAAACGTGTTCAGTTAAAATACCGTTAATGTGTTGACTATTGTTGATGTTGTGATTAATTGCTGAAAATTTCAACATAGACGAATGAGAAATTAGTTTTTGTTTCCAATTCCAAAAAGAGTAGGAGTATAAACTCTAATTATTTGATGAATATTTTCCCAAAAACATAAAATAAAAATGATTAGATGATTACAAATAAGAGCATATATTTTATGATAAAGAGTTTCTATAGTTTACATCTTAAAACTAGAACTAGAATTACAACACAATTGGGAATACATTATATAATAGAAGCAAAGACGTTGTAAGGTCTTTATTGATGAAAACTTCAATCTATTTTTCTCAAATTTTTTAATTTTTACAATGTAAAAATCTATGTGTCATATTGTTGGTTTTCATCAATTTTTTTTTTCTTTTTTAATTTTAATTATCAATATGGCAATTCCTTTCAAACTTTGTCCATTAATTAGAGAATCTTTTGAATTTTCAACAATATGGAAACTTTCTATTTCTTAAATTGATGATGAAAATCTCAATATATGTTTCTTAAATTGTTAGTGACAATTGATTTATATACCACTGGTTTTTTCTTAATTGGATAGTAAATTGAAATAAAAAAATTTTGAGGACTTCTTGTTTTTTCCTTCGTAGATTTTTTGGTTTTTGCTTTTGAGGACCTCTTGTCCTTCTTTGTACTTCTCTTTTCTCCTTTTTGATAAAATTCTTCTTTTATTACTGATTCCAAAAAAAAAAAGAAAAAAATTGAAATAATTTTTTTTACAATATAATAATAATAAAAAAGTTCTGGCTTTTGAACAGATTGTTTAAGAGAGGATTTTTTCTTAAACTTGAGTCCTATTTCCTCTTCTTCTAGCAGCATTTCTTCTTTAAACAAGTAGAAATTTAGCCATCAGCTTTGTGTTGTCTTTAGATTGTATTAACCTGATGAAAAGTAGGGGCCTATTGCCTTCTTGTGGGAAATCATTTTTTTCATTGTTATTGGGTGAACCTAGTTAATGACTGAAGGTTCAGTATCAGGGGTTTGCTGCTTCTGTAGCCACACTACTAGAAAATACAATTTTTTGCGTCTATTTTTTTGCGACTGATTATTTTACTATCGCAAAAAATCACTTTTTACGTCATAATCCCATTTTACTTAACCCCCAAAATCGTGTTCTTAATTGAAAACAAAAAAAACCCCCAAATCGTGTTGCCCTATCCCATTTCACTCTTATTTCCTAACTTTCTCTCTCTCTCTCTCTCTCTCTCTCTCAAAATCTCACAAATCATATTGTTAATCTCTCAAATTCTCCTCTCTCTCACTCAACTCTCCACTCTCTCTCGCTCGAATCTCACTATCCACTCTCCACTCTTCACTCTCTCTCGCTTAACTCTCACTTTGATGAAGATATGAAGATTTTGATCGATTGTTGATGAAGATTTGAAGATTTCAATCTACTGTTGATGAAGATTTGGATCGATTCATAATCGGTAAGCCTAATTTCTATGTATGAATCCAACTCTCTATCTCTGTAATCCCTATATCTTTATTTTTATCAATGTAGTGTAGATTCTGATTTCGAAACATCTTTGTGATTCGAAGATTCATTTTATTTTTTTATTTTTTTAAATTATTAAATCTTGATTTGCTTTGGCTTTAAAACTTGATCTGAACATTTCTCTAGATTGTTTGCTAAATTTCTTTTAGTTTTTGAACCTCTTGTTTGTATAATTTCAAACTTTTAGTATTATTCTTTTATGTTTGTTTGGCTAGAAAGCTGAAGCTCACCTTAATTGGGGTAAAATATATATTTGTTTTCCTGTGTCTTTGTTACATTTTCTTAGCAACCAAACAGAGCATAATTTGGTTAATCTTTGAATGATTTTTCTAGTTTGTAATCTTGTTAGTCTGCTTTGAATTCTTCTTTGTTACATGTTTTAGTCGCAGTTGATTTCTATATTGCACTGTTTAATTTTGATTTCAAGCTCTCTCAATTTCAATTTAGTTTGATGAAACTCAGAAGTAATTTAGATCTTGAATTAAACGATGAATTACTTGCTACTGATATCTTTCTCTCTCGTTCTTGAATTTGAATTCGATTCATATAGCTAAATGCATAGAGTATTGAATATTCGTATTCTTAGGAAATACACGAATCTTTTAAATTTTTTTAATTTGTTCATGAGTTTTTTAACCGGATCCTTATTGGCGTGTATCTTATCTTAGTTGATACATTCATGAGGGCTTTACACACTCTTCTTTGTCCTTCCTCCACACTCAGTAGGCCGAAATTTGATTTGGATCAATTTCTTCTGCCAGGTAAAATTTACTGCTATAGTTCGATTTGGTCTTAAACTGATATTTAGTTCGATTTGTTTCTTTTTGTATCCTTTCATGTGAATAAGCAATAATAATAATAATAATGAGTAGCATCTTGATAATTGAAGGCTCTAGAAAGGGGAAAATGAGTAGTATCTTGAATAATTGAAGGTTCTTCTTAGGTGGAGCTCATAGGGTATGTGTACATGGCATCATTTCTATTTTGTGTGGTTGAGATGTAACTTTTGTGTTTTGAATTCATCATTTTTATTTTTATTATGATGATGTCTAATTCATGCATATATATTTAGTTGTGTGTGTGTGTTGAGGTTCATGCTAGTATGTTTGTCTTGAATACTACTGTATCTGCTATGAATATTATTGTACAATTTTGTCAATATGATTCCTTCTTCCTATCAAGGTCAAGATACACCTCTTCCATTGTCATACATGTTTGACTTGTTACATCCTCTCTTAATGATTTTTTCAGCCACTGGCCAGTGCATATGGGCTTGCAAAACATAGAGATGGTCGGTGGGAATGGGCAATTGCTCCTGGTGTCTCACCATTTCCTAGATATCAACATGCAGCGGCGAGTTTTTCTTTTAAACTCCCAACCAAAAAAACCAACCAAAAAAAAAAAAAAAAAGAAAAAGACCCCGCTGTTAGTTGACATTGCCCCCCCTCCTGTTTGGTATCTAGAAACCAGTCATTGAGATGTGCTATGCTCCTGTAGGTTTTGTTAAATGCAAGGCTCCATGTGTCTGGTGGTGCACTTGGTGGTGGACGCATGGTGGAAGACTCATCAAGTGTTGTAGGTATTTTCCTTTATTTTCTTTTTCCCTGCAATCCAGCAAATGTATTGAAATTGTTGGTGTACAAAATCTACACTTAAGTCTTTTTCTCAGAATTGTCATGTTTCTGTGTGTAGTTCTGGATACTGCGGCAGGAGTCTGGTGTGATACGAAGTCTGTTGTTACTACTCCCAGGACGGGCAGATAGAGTGCTGATGCTGCCGGTGGAGATGCTGCAGTTGAACTGACGAGACGCTGTAGGCATGCTGCCGCTGCTATTGGTGACCTGATATTTATCTATGGTGGTCCACGTGGTGGTAAGACGTCACAACAGAACACTCAATTTCTTTCCATTTGTATGTAGTTCTAGACTTTAAGCTGACTAGTACCTTCTAGTATTGTACATCGTTTTGCATTCTGATGCCTGGCATAATATGGGTGTGTCCTGATTTGCATTGTCGTAACACAATATTCATCTACTCTGAGTTTGTAGTAAATTGGTTGATCCTTTCAAAGTGCTTGCATAACTTGAAACTACGGATAAAGTAGATTCATTTAGAGGAAAATGAAGACTCTTCTTATGTGAAGTTGATGTCTATGATGCTCAACGAGGACCTTTCCATGGATCACTATGATCTCCTCTTTTTCTAATATGATTTCTTAGAATTTTTAGTTTTTTAGAAATATAAATGATCATGAGGTCAATTAATTTGCTTCGTTGGTATCTCTTATTATCCAATGCATTATTGATTAAAGGGTACAAACTTGGTGACATTTTTCTTGCAAGTAATTTTTTGATAAAATTATTGATGATTTTGTCCCTCACAAGTTGATGTGAAGTGCGTGGGTCTCCTCTCCCTTAAGGTTAAAGTGTTTGTATGGACCATAGCTCACTAGAAAGTTAGTACCAATGACATGGTTTAGAAAAGAAGGCTGAATTTCTTGTTACACCCATGGTGTGTCACGTGTAAATGGGGCCAAGGAAAGTATTGATAATTTGTTCATGCATTGTCCCATAGTTTTATAATTATGGTGGAGGGTGATTTGTTTGGTGAAGTTGGATTGGGTTGCACCTTCTTCTTGTGTTCATATGTATTGATTGGAGAGGCTTTGGTTCAAGTGATAAAGTGCGGGGTCTTTGGAAATGTGTAGCTTGTGTCCTTATACATTTTTTGTATTATTTTCTAATTTTCCTCTGGTTATTAATAAATTTTTCTTGGTTGTCAATCCAAAAAAATGTTGGTTAATTATGTAATTTAAGCTATATAAGTTTGAAGAATACTATTATTCATTGGAGAGGCTTTGGTTCAAGTGATAAAGTGCGGGCTCTTTGGAAATGTGTAGCTTGTGCCCTTGTACATTTTTTTGTATTATTTTCTAATTTTCCTCTGGTTATTAATAAATTTTTCTTGGTTGTCAATCCAAAAAAATGTTGGTTAATCGTGTAATTTAAGCTATATAAGTTTGAAGAATACTATTATTTAGATAACAAAAAGTTCCAGTGGCTTAATGTTATTTTTTGAGATTTATTTAATGCTTATTATTTATTGTCTTTTCATATTTGTTCACTTCATAATATATGTAACCCGCTTGATGGTTATCTTTGTAATTATTTGGCATGGAGAGTATCTCCCCTAAGCTTTGAACTCAAGGCTACTTTGAAGTTGGCAAGATTTCTCTCCAGGTAGGCTTGTTTAACCTGTCTTCTATGATGATGACGGCAACATACTATCGTACTTGAATAAATTTAGCCTGTAGAAGTGGGATGCTATCCCAGAATCTCTTGATCGAAATGTGCAATCAATATATAGGTATAAATTAATGAGGCTATATTATTTATACAATGCTGCTTGCATCATTTTATTGTACATTTTATCAAGGTTAGAATTGTACAAATGTTAATTTTTTGGCAAAAAAGATAGAAAAAAGACATTAGATTTTAATACTTCTACCTGCCATCATATTTTAATGCTTGTAAAGTTAGTTAATATTTTAAGATCTACGTAAATTAAGTGAATTTTGGACCCAAATTCTGGATTGGATTTTTGTCAAACTTTGGATCACATTTCGGTAAACAAGGTCATTTCAATATTTTAATAATTTTAGCTGGAAGTTTGGACTAATTATTTTAAACTTCAGCTAAAATTCGGGGAAGCTCAAATGATCACATTGGCATTTAAAAAATTTTGAGAGTTAAAGATGACCAGCAATATGGAAAGTTTGGATTTAAATTGGAACTTGGTACAAGTAAATTTCAGGTACCGTATAACAGACTACACTTGCCAGATCACATTCTGTAAAATTTTCATTTCATCTCTGTAGTATGTTATCGACTTTTCATTAATTCCTATTGCCATTATTCTATAATTGTTAGACATCACTAAACCAGTCAATTACGCAGTTTTCACTTCAATTATGGGTCAGGATCCCCATAGATGTGTCATTATTCCTTGGGTTAGGGAACAGTGTAGAAGGTTGAAATTCAGCTATAAGCTAAGGATTTTTGTATTACTGTGATTTCTAAAATTGGTTTTTCACTTAAAATATTTTGTTTATTGATAGACGTGAGCTGGCCAAGGATGTAGTGGAGTTGTTGACAGCTGCTGCTGATGGAGCGAAATCTTTGATTGAACCCCACTAAACCTAACACACTTACCATCTCCACTACCACCCACCACCTCCACTACCATCCACTACCACCACTCACTTACCTCACTCCTCTCTTATATAATAGCTTGTAACATATAAATCAGTACAACAATCAATATATCGATAAATCAATAATAATACATCAATTTCTTATCACTAAAATTGGTTTTTCACTTAAAATATTTTGTTTATTGATAGACATGAGCTGGCCAAGGATGTAGTGGAGTTGTTGACAGCTGCTGCTGATGGAGCGAAATCTTTGATTGACGCCAGTGACTGACTAATATTGTATGTTGAAGTAGCTCGTCTTTTTGGAACTCTAGGCTATCATTGGAAAGCTGCCTTTTTTTCAAGGCAGGTAGCTCAGCTGTATTTGCAACAAGAAAATAGACTGGCCGCTATCAGTGCCTTGCAAGTGTTGGCAATGACCACAAAAGCATATCGTGTTCAAAGTAGAGCATCTATTGCTAGGAGTTCTCTTTCCAATGTGAGTTTTAAAAATATGGTTTGGCTTATATGATTATGCGACTACTGCCATTAATTTTTGCATTTGGGATGAACTTTTCACATTTGGGAGCTTGCCTTTGAAAAGCTAGGAAAAATAAACATTTATTGTCGTTTTATTTACAAACAAAATGCTGCATCAGCTTCTACTTACTCAAATAAGGTACCATGCTAATGTGCATATGCTAAATTCTATTCATGTATTCCCATACCACTTTCTCTAGAGCAAGGTCCTGATGGATTTAAGGTAGGAGATTATAGTATGCTTATACATTTGATTTCTTGAATGACAACAAAAAAGTATTGTTGCAAATGTAAGAATAAAATTTTTTAACATTTCATAGTGCACATGGTAAAAAAAAATAATAATTAACAATTGAAAACTGTAATGTTTCCTTTCCATCCCCACCAAAAAATTAAAATCCTTTTTCTCATATAGTACACAGCATGACCTCTTGTGAAGCTGTTAGTTTCCATTCACAGATTGAATTAAGTTCAATATTGGTCAGAACTCCAAATTTGACACAGAAGCTTTGCAGTGGATGGTCTGGTTAAAACTGACATGGTGTCATAGATCAACAGGTTCTACACTGTTTTCAGTTAATTATTCTACATTCTGAATTTGTGTCTGTTCTTTCTTTATTTAAGGAAATTGTATCCACTCATGATGATGGGAAAACGCATCATCACTCCATAGTCTCACATTTTGAGTCCCAATGGAGCACCCTGGAGATGGTTGTTCTAAGAGAGATACTGGTGTCTGCTGTTCGTTCTGGAGATCCTCTTGCTGCATGGAGTGCAGCAGCACGCCTGCTTCGATCTTATTATCCTCTAATTACTCCTCCTGGGAAAAATAATCTTGTGAGTGAACTTACAAATTCTGCTGATAGACTCCCTTCAGGAACTCGTTGCGCTGATCCTGCCTCACCTTTTATAAGGTATTTGTACTGTAGGTTTAATACTTCTCTAGTATTGAGCAAGAATCAAGTTTCCTTCTGTGCTTATTACGGTTCTGTCATTGCATATTCCTTGGCAAGATAAAATTATAAGATGCTAAATGTCTTCAATTGGCTAAACATATATATAACCAAGGACATTGAACAAACTGGGGCAGCCTAGTTTGATGGAACCCTTGGTGATTGTGTCAAAAAAAAACAAACAAGGACATTGATCACACGTACTTTTACCTATTTGTGCTGTCAACTTTTTAAATGCTTCCAGGTTGCATTCCTTTCCACTCTATCCCTCACAAATGGACATCATAAAACGCAATCCAGCTAGAGAATTTGTCCTGTCAACTTTTTAAATGCTTCCAGGTTGCATTCCTTTCCACTCTATCCCTCACAAATGGACATCATAAACGCAATCCAGCTAGAGAAGATTGGTGGGCAGGATCTGCTCCCTTAGGGCCTTTTATTTATACACCATTCAGCAAGGGAGAGCCAAATCATAGCAGTAAGCATGAGCTGATTTGGGTTGTTGGAGAACCAGTCCAGGTGTTAGTGGAATTGGCAATTCCTTGTGGGTTTGACTTAATGGTTGGTATAGCATCTATCTGTCAGTGCATTCTGGAAACTTCGATTCTTTTCCAATTAGTGTAAATCTCCCAACTAATTCTTCGAAAGTGATCACGTTGTTAGAAAT